AGGTTATTAACTGTTCGAATGTTTCTGTCTGCCTGGACATTGGCTGAATAAAAAAAAATGCGCATCGCAATCACAAAGATGCTCGTGCGCGCGTCTCAAGTTATGTTCAAAAGCTATTTTTAAAGACGAGTTAATGCGATCCTAAAGCAATAAAAGCCAGCGAACCTGTCACAACAAAACATATCGCTATCTTAATTTTTTCTTCTTACCTAAACCAAATGCAAAGCTCAAAACGGTTGAATAACGATGTTTTTTCTTTCATGCTACTTTGTTGCACCGATCTTTACCAATGTACATACGCCGCAAAGCAATCGTTCAAAGCTAACTGGAACAATAACAACGACGACGGCAACGACAAAAAACGAGTACAATTAGAGTTAACAAAATAGCTCTAGATTAAATGTTAAACAAGAGCGTTATCAATTCAACTCAATAAAACATCGAGCCAAAGAGGAGGATAAACACAAAAGCACAACAAAAGCGAACACAAACAAAATGAAACAGGCTCTTGACGATGATTGACAGTGTCGGCAATAAAATAATTGCCGCAAACAAATTTTTCAATCGATTCATGCCACAAGTGAATGTGTCTGCTGTCTGGTGTGCAATCCACAAGGAGAGAATTTCTCATTTGTACAATGCAGAGTGATTGCATTTCCGCACATTGTTGCCGTTTGCTCTGATTAGATGCTGTTGCTATGTTTTTGTTTTATCTATTTTGAAAGAATGCTGACACAAGTTCCAACTCATCGGACGCATGCAGGTGAAATTCTACAATCGGTACATTGACTCTTGGGCAGCATTGTATAAGCATACGAAATAATCAGGGTGACCAATGTCTATCGAATAGAGCAAGTGTGTGATTAAAAAGCTTGGCCTTTAAATGTCAGTGCGTTTTTATTTTCTATGAAGAACACTCTTTATTATTATTTTCTTGAGCGCTAAATATAGCATACGAAAAATTGACCGAATAAATTTCGGAGATACGTACGGCCTTGTAAAAAAAATAAGACGCAAAACGAAGACAAAAAAAGAGAAATACCGATCGGCATTTCATTGAAAACGAACTGTCCAAAATAATATCCTGAATAAATCGGCACATCACTTGCAATTAGCATTGTTGGCACGAACATTATGTGCGCGCGCATACATTACCCTCTTTTATTTGCTCGATCGTGTGATGTGAATCGAAAAATAATGAGAGGCGAGAATGTGCTCACACAGACAGACACACACCAAAAAAGCTACGTGAACTGAGTCGAATTGCAGAGCGTCTCGTGATTGTGTCTCATGAAGACCATGAGACCTTCATGAAGTCAAAAACCGAAAACTCTTTGAAAAATGAATGGCTTTTATAGAGTACACATTAAAGCGGAACAAAATCGAGCCACTTTATCAGATTTGGCGCATCTTTTTGATACACCTTAATGTGCAATGAGAGACAATACGAGGCACTGCAATACAATCTCGCCAGTTTCGTTTCGCATGAACATTTTTCAATCATCAGTTTGGCCTTTCGCCAACCAGACCCAAACCATTCCGCAGATATGGTGGTAAATATTAAATTCTTGATTGTTTTCACTTCATGGCATTTTTCATCTTGTGTCCGTGTGTCGAAAATAAAGAGGAGAAAATAAAACGTACCATCGATGTCATAAAAAAGAGTTTCAGTTTGAAGCTATTGTTGTGATTTGCATTGCACATTTTTGTTTCGTTGAAGCAAAAAAAAAACGTGTCGGTCTTCTCTACGGCCGATTTTATGTTCATTCTTATATTCTTCAATTGTCCAGATTCTGAGCGCGTTACATCGCGTTCTCAGGCCGAATTACACGTACATTCTTTTATTGCTTTTTTATATATATATTTTTTACAATATGCAAAGAGTGTGGTTTGTTGGTTGGACTCGAGTGTACGCGCACTTTTTTTTTGATATATGCACGCACAATATTGAACATTTTGTTGGCCAACTGTGCGCTCATATAAAATATCTTTTCGGAGATTCCACGCATAGATTACCACAAAATATATGGGTTTTCGCGATAAATTTCATTCTCTTTTTTCATGCAATTCGTTGATCACGGGTTGACAAAGCGATTACGCGAATGAAATAAAAGTTGAAGTTGGCATGACTCTTCCTCTGTCTCTCCCTCTCTCTCCCCCACTCTCTCTCTCTCTCCCTCAATCTGTATCTGAAAGTCACCACAAAGAATTTAGTTTCATGCATGATTTTCTATTTGGGAATTTTGTTTTTCTTTTTGCATTATGAGATCCAAACATATTTTATTTTATTTATTGGGCAATTACTTTACAACTTGGCATCTTACAATGTTGTCCATTTCACGAATGTTCAACTATACTTTGACCCATACACACAAGATGAAAACAAGAGAGAGAGAAAAAGAGAACAAAACACTCAATTTCCAATTGCAATAATTCAAAATAGACTAGCACAATTTATTGAAGTCATATGCGCTCCTATTCATTGGGCCGCAAGATATAGCAAACTGACGCCATCACACTCCCGCCGTGCTGCTCGAACATACCGATCACCGATAACCAACGAACAGAATAGAAAAACGACGACGGCGACGATGATGTGGTTTCCTGTGCCATTGCAACAAATCGCGAGCAAAGTCACTGAATGCAATGCCAATCTTCCACTTTTTTGCCACAACCAAACCAATTTCAATTGCAATTGAATGGTTTTTTTGACAGTTTTTGAATTGATTTTCAGCTATATTTTCAATTATTTTCTAATTTGGCACCACCAATAAAAAAAACATTCATCGTTTTGTCGATCATGTATGGTCAGTAAGGCAGATGTCGATTTTCGTGGTTTCTTTTATTGCAATTCCGTATGGAATTCTCATTTCAAAAAATACGATCCATTAGATCAATTGAATGTGATATTCGAACAGTAGTGTTGTTTTTTCTTCACTGCTCTTCATAAAAATATTTTATTGGCACATTCTTCGATGCGAGAGCGTGTAAAATTAATATGTGATGTAATACGCAGTTTCGCATTTGTACGCCAAGGCGTCAAGAAATAGCGCACTCAAAAAATCTTAGTGGCGATGAAGTTAATAATAATTGAGACGAAAAAAAAGGTTAAAAGCATCATTTTCATTTAAGTCGATTGGTTGTGTTGATTTGCGTTGCCATTTTGGCCCATCAACTAAATTGGGTGCGCATAATTTTTGAGTTTATAACCAATTATCGAAGCCACATAAAGATCGATTAAAATCCCATTTTCATTGCGTTTCGAAATCGCATCGACGCCAATTGGCAATTGGGTAATATGCATTTTGTATCGTCGTCGATCAATGAAAATAACTCAAAGATGAATCGCAAAAAAAATGGTTATTGGTTTTGAGTCTGTTGTTCATATGCATATTGTTCGCATCAGAATTGGAACAATTGCAAATGGCATCTGAAGACAGTTAAAGAGATAAAGAATTTGTTGTCTGCATACGAGTTGAATCTTCTTCTTCGTATATTTTTTGTTGTTGAATAAACAAATGATTGGCGCCATTTCATGTCATAAATTCAAACGAAACGACCAAACCAAACGAATGAAAAAAAAATCAAACAAAAAGATTAATTTTAAAATGATCACTGGCATATGAAACATGAAACACATCTTCGATAAATGGCAAAATTGTTCGCTCGCGCGCATACAAAAACACACGCACACACACGCGAGCCCAACGGTTTGCCACAAAAACCGCATTTCTATTTCGTTTTTAAATTGAATTCGACATGAAAGAATTTTTGCTGTACGCAGCACACATTTTTGCGTGGTAATTTATTTTTTCATGCGAATATTTCGCGCTCGATCGTTATTTCTAGTATTTATTTATGGGTCTCAATCTAATCGTATCTGCGGTTCGTATCCACCATTATTGCGGTGTAAAAATGACAAACGTTTAGGTGAACGAAAAAAATTAATGACGTTACACACACATCGTTGTCTAATCTGAGGGATTGAAAAATTAATTTTAATTATGTTCGAAATTCCACAAAGTCGCCACAGTTATTCGATAATGGTGAACTTGTGTTTGCCTCTCCTTTTTGTTGAATTCGTTGTGTCGTTTTTGTTTTTTTCACTCTACGCATATTTTAGTTTACAGTTGTTTAGATAACATTTAAATAGTGTGTCTTTTTTCGTCCTATCGGTTGTTTCTTTTTCGGTCGATGATTAAATTAGGAATCAAGCATCGATTTGACAGACACCGGAACAAGCGTGCGAAATTTCACACCGCAACAGAAACAAACGGCATAGAATTAAGACGATCGAAAAATTTATTATAGCCCAAATGGTGCTGTCAAATTATTATTTCCCACCGAATGTGAGCGTGTGTGATAACTTGTTGCGAGCGCAAAATTTTTGCTTTGAAGTCAAAACAAATGCGAATATCATGACACCCGTTCATTTTGACTGTGCCGGCATGAAAAAAAAACCGGTTGTCACGGCACTGACTCATCTTTTGAATATTTACTATATGACAGAATAATTATTTTCTTTTCTTGGCTCACGCTAGTGGAGAGATTGACACATTCGCATCTACTTATCAAACGATTAATGCTCCGCCAGTTAATTAACGCTCACAAAAAAAAATATATTAGCCAGCGACAGAGGTGGAAACTTCTATTTCTAAGTCTTTGTTTGCGATATGTGAGCGTGTGATGAAGTTGTCAATCGAATTAAGTTGATTTTAAAAGAAATTTAAGCTTCCAATTCCAATTATTATTAATTAATAAAAAAGGAGACATCGTCACATTTAAGAATCGGGGGGAATCGAAATGAATTTCTTTTTTAAGTCGAATGTAAGATTGTCTCTTACTTTTGCCAACAACAGCAACAACAACGAATGAAAATTGTCTTTTATCATCGTTGCCATTCGAAATAATCTCTTGTGGGAGAAGAATGGCCTTTCCTTTATGAATTTAATTAATTTCTCTTGTCTGATTTTATTTCGTGTCTCTTTTTTGTTTTGCAGAATGTCTGTTTGGGAAAACGTTGCGTGAATTAGGCTCAAAATGGTATGCCGACCTGGGACCACCGTTCGGCGTTATGTATTGTATTGAATGTTCATGTATTCCGGTAAGTGGATTTAGTTGTTTCATTTAGTTCAGATATTTTTTTTTTTGGCAACAAAAATTATCAACATACATTATTGCCATATTATATTCGCTCTTTTGATTGTGGTGTGTATGCATTACATTTAGCCGCCGTAATTTAAATGGTATTTTAATTTGATTTGCGCTGATGTTGCGCGTGAATGAACAGCGTGCGCGGCATTCTTTACACTGTTTACCTTTTTATTTCTTTCAACATTTCTCCCTCTTGTACCTCTTATCAACGGTTGGCGTTGCCCACGTCAACATGCGCGCTTGCGCCAACAAGCGAGCCATGGAATACTCATTATTTTGGAAAAATAATGGCACGGAAGGCGCCAACACAACAATTCACATTTCTTTCTCTCTCTCTCTTTTTTCATTTTCATTTTCGTGGTTCGTTACTTGCAGTTTATCCTCTTTCAACTTCTGATGCTGTGCCGTGTGCAATTGAAGTAAAATAACGATACACCCATTTTTGTGAGCGTTCGCGTAAAATTGTTGCATTTTCAGCCATTTAAATGTAATACTCTCTAGCCTACTGCGCACGATTGTAATTTATAACATTGGATCTGGCAAACGGCGATCAACACAACCGTTTCGTCTATGGATCACAAACATAACTATGTTAGTCATGGTAAACATTGTAACCTTTTGTTAGCACAATCATAAAGCATCACAATATGGGCGTTAGAATCACGATACAAACAATTTTACACCATTTTCATCGCATTGTACTCTTCAAACTGCCAATTTAAGTGCACAACATTGAATTATACCATTTTTATGCGAAACAAAAAGATTAGCAGCATTCTGCATAACGTGCATCTTAAGAAAAAGTATTTATTTGAACCTAGATTTGAACATTGTTGATTCGTGTTTTTGTTGTAAAGGACAAATGTTTTGGCAAGAAAAAAATCACCGAAAAAAAGTCCGAATTATTCAAAATGACAAACTTTCAAATTTTTGAATTTGAAAATTTATTGTGGAAATGTGCCACCATAAACCTAGTTTTCGTGATGAATTTTGTCAAAACCGGCATCGGTCATAAATCGTTCGGTACGTAAATACATTGTATATGCATCAATAAAAGCATAGATATTGCTTGGCGTATTGTCACACAAATCGTATGTGTGCTTTTGTTTCTTTCCGCAGTCTCGTTTTATATATAGCCGCGTGTACTTGCAGTACGTTATTAAGTCTTTACTTAAATTGAAAACACAAAAGATAAAACAACGGAGCACAAAAAATAGAGAGTAAGAGTGAGAGCGAGAGGGAGAGAAGTAAGTAAAAAGAGTCGCCGTCGCTAACTGTAGTTCGTAGCTTAATGGCGGTCGTGCTGTCAACATCCTCTCTATCGTGTACCGGCACAAACAGTAGCTCAAAAATAGTCACGTTTTTCTTTGTCTACCGTAGTTTTGCCATTGGTGTGACGAGATTTATGTGAGCATATCGCATGAACGCGCACATTGTGTGTTTATTTTATTTAAAACCTTGTGAAGGCAGTCAGCGCTTTAAAAAAAATCGTCACCGATAATTTCGCTTCATTTTGCGCAACATATAACTATATTACAATTTTCTTTCGGTTTGCCCAATGTTATTTATCGGCGGTTCTTATCACCATATGTCCGCACGTTACACAGTTTCAAAGTTATAGTCGTTGCACTCTTGGCGCGCCACACGAATGCAGTGTGTGTGTGTGTGTGTGTGTACAAAACACGGTGTGCAAAATTTAATTAACAAAACTACACATATACAATTTTAGATGTTTGTTGGTCACATCCAAAGTGTGGTGTGACGGTGTGGTTACATCTGTTATCACACAATTTGTACTTCACGGTATATTAATCTTGAATAATAAATTAATCTGGCTCCAGCACAACCCAGTGACATTTTTAAATTTGTTGCACATTTCCAATTGACTTTGCCATAATAAAATATGTATTTATACATCACCGCATCGAATCGCATGCGATTCTATTTATTTACAGTGCACTAATTAGCACCGGCAACGGAATGAAATGACGGATAAATAAACGAAATCGTTTAAACAAAAACAGCTCTGTTTACGTAAGCGCAAATTGGAGTCGTGCTGTAAAGTGAAACTGAATGGGAACAAAACACGGCCGCAACAACGGCACCAACAACAATATTATCATCATTTGATACATTCCAGCCAGAAGGAGCTATAATCCAAATTGAATAAATACTCATTTCCGCGTATGAATGACTTAAGTTTTATTCAATTTCAATAAAATCGCTTCGATCATTTTCGTTTATGCCATTTCAGTTGAATCAGCACATCGACAGCAAAACCGACTGAAAATGTGCTTTGAAGGAAAAAAAATTGTTGAAAACCCACAACATTGCCTTCCAAACCAAATATAGATAAAGCTGTTTATGGGGAAAAATGTGTACAAATAGACAGAGATAAAGAAATGCGAGAAATCATATCAAACGCAACAATAATAATAATCAATAAATCATGATGCAAAAATGTCAATGAAAACACACACAAACTGAACAGAAAAAATACGGTGTTTTTTTTATTAAAACAAACGCGATGGAATTTTTTTTATTTCTACATTCGTTTCGATTTGAAACTTGGCTGTCGCTTGGAAATTGAAACAAATTGACATATATGTGAAATGTTTACGATTAATTCAGTAGTTGCGATGACAACTTTCAGTTGTAATTTAATCGGATGGCGCTCCGATTTCTGTCTCACAATCTATGTACGTGCGCCTGTTGCATGCACCATTTTTGAAAACTGCATGCATTCGCAGTTTCGTTGTGTCGGACAAAAAAAGAAAGAGAAATGATAAGAATCCATTTGAACAAATTTGGAAAATTGGAATGTGCGTTTGATGGGCTGTGTGCAATGGGAACACAAACCTGTTTCACTTTCGTTTCGTTCAATTGTTGTTGTTTGTCAATTTTCATTCAGTTTTTTTTGCAGTGCGCCAAATGGCAGAGCAACAACAATCAATAGCTCTGAACTTTTCACAAGGCAAAACCGAAGTGAATTCCATTAAAAAAAAACTGAATATCTCCGCTTTTGATGGCGATCAAACTGCGCCATTTCATTTTCCGTTATAAAAAAGAAAATATGATGATCGTTTGAATGTGATGTTTGATATATATACATTTGTGCGCGCATGTCCCATTCGTTGAATATACAAATTAAATGTGGATCATTATATTTACCGAATCTCCGGAATATGCCAGACGAAAACGGATATTTGGCAGCACAAATATCAACAAAAATGAACAAATTCTATTTACGTCAGGCCGTTTTCGGTTTCTTGAAATTGACGCGGTTTTCTCGAAATGTTGTTGTCTTGAATGTTTTCAACGAAACCATTGGAATTTTATTTTATTTTATTTGGAAAATGTTGGTGTGATTCGTGCGTCGAGACGCAACGCATCTCAATGAAAAACAAAAACACGCATTTTATGCAGTTTTATTTTAAAATCTCGCATCTCAATTAGATAATACGAATTGAATGGCGCAGTTAATACAGCGAACACTATTGGAATCGGGACCTCTCCTCTCCCCCGCCTCGCACATTGCACAAATGTGATTTTATCAATTCTTCATAGTCATTTGTGCATTCAGCGCGCATCCAATTTAATTAAAACACATATATACTGCATTAAATTCAACCGAGAAACTGAATTGATTGAAGAGATCAGTGCTGCGTCAGTACACAATGAATGAACTTCATTATAGGACTATAAATATTGTGTCTGTTTTTTTTTAATTTCATATTTTCAATGACGCGCAAGTCCCCAAACTTGAATATAAAAAAAAACTGAAAATAAAGCAGTGATATCTCGTCGAGCTTAGGAGAAAGATTGTCGGTGGAAAATGTTCACGTCATACACCAGAGACAAAATGTCTAATTATACGATATAGTCAGAATTTATTTCATTTTGCATGCAAACAACCTCCTCTATTAATTGCATTCATAGCGTGTCTTCTCTTCGGTTGCTTCTTAAAATTCAAGCAACGATTATATTAATCACATATAGACGGAATGTCTGTCTTGTTGGATATATATTCGCAGTAAATGTGTGTGGCATAAAATCAAAACAGCAGCAACAGCGGTGTCGGTGGCGGTAGCAACAGAAGTTAGCAAAACCTACAAATTGTTGCAATGAATGAATAATAACGCAAAAGATGATGGATGTACCGATTTGAAAACTTGATCACATTGGCTCTGAATCGAATGCCACAATTAAAAGTAAACGAACAAAAAAAATACAACGATTTCACGCAAAAAGTGTGCAGCAAATGATGAGTCGTACGATTCACGCGATTGATATATATATTTGACAAAAACTTCGCCGCTCTCATTCATCCAAATGTTCACTTGTGGTTGCTCTCTTCTGTCATATCGCACAGGCGAGAGATTTTTTTTGTTTCATTTGCTTCTTCTTTTCATCTTTAATTTATTAACTCATTTCTCGATTCTCAAGTCAATGCTTTTTTTCGTTCAACTCATTCGACGTTAGATCATTTCACAATGATGCGCGTCTGAGTCTTTAAATTACATACGAAAAAAAAAATCAACTTTAAATCAACGAACTTCAACCACTCTCTTGCCAAAGATAAGAAGGTGAAAATTTCATAATGACGCTTGACTTTCGTTTGTGCTTGAATCAAGGTTAAAATTCGGCCAAAATTTATTTTTTTCAAAACACACATTATGTGAAAATTTCCCAACACTAAACCGCATCACCAATTTGCTTTTCGATATTAAAACGACTTCTGTTTCCATTTTAGTATTAATAGCGTTTTTTGTGGCTTGAGAACATTTTTTTTCATCTCGTTTTGCTTTTTTCTTCAAACGAAACAACAACAACACCAAAAAAAAACAGATGAGAACGGTTTATATTCGAACAGCTCGGTTTTTACATTTATATTCGTTTGCGATAAATGTTCGTTGTTCGTCTTGTTAGTTGATCAGTTCATGTTACAAA